ACTTTGTCCCATATCATGCAAGCCTCTAATACCAAATTCCAGTCTTCACTCCCCAAACAAACCTCCTAGGAACAGGGCAGAGGGACTGATCCCTTCCCTCAAGTTTCCTCAACACCCCCAACAATGGCCTAGTCTTGGAGTATACTTGTGAATGTCCTCTGAGTATTTGTTCAGGCATATGCTTACCACCTGCACCCTCCTGGTCTTTCCTTCCTGAACTGGGAGCCGCTCCTGAGACAGACTACTTGGAAAATTCACGAAGTTCCTGAGCGGAACTGTCTGAATTCCACCCATCTTGTCTGGTCATGAAAACCCAGGAGTGTCTGGCTCAGAACTGGCCACTTTTTCCCTCCAACTATTTACAGCAAATTCATAATTGACAATCACTTGGAGTAGAATTCATTGCTCAACACAGCACCTGATATCTGGTAGGAAGTTTTGGAAATAAATCATTAAATAGCAGTTCAAGTACCGCCTATTAAAGTCCTCTGGTCCAATTTAAATACACCTCTTTCAGGGTGCCTGGGTGGCTCAGTCGGTTAAGCATCTGCCTTCAGCTTTGGTCGTGATCCTGGGGTCCTGGGATCGAGCCCTGCGTCGGGCTCCCTGTTCAGCAGGGAGCCTGCTTCTCCCTTTCCCTCTGCTCCCTGCTTGTACTCTCTCTCAAATAAATAAATAAAATCTTTTTTAAAAAATCTAAATACACCCTTTTCATGTTATCTTGTCAATCATAAATGGTTTCCTCTTCCCTCCCTCTGCATCCCTATAACAGCTCTCTTTACTGAATGCTTATTAATTGTTCCCAGGTCATATATCTGATAATTGGCAAATCTAGAATCTATCTGTACTGAGTTAAATAGTGTCTTCCCAAAATTCCATGTCCATTGGAACATGGGAACATGACCTTATTTGAAAATAATGTCTTTAGAGATGCATTCAAGTTAAGAGAATGTCATACTAGATTAGAGTGGGCTTAAATCCAATGATTAGTGTTGTTATAAGAAGAGGGACATTTGGAGACAGAGACAGTAGGAAAACAGAGAAGGCCAGGTAAGCATGGAGGCAGAGATTAGAGTCATGTTGCCAAAGCCAAGGGATGCCAAGGATTTCTGACAACCACTAGAAGCTACGAAGAGGCAAGGAAACAGTCCTCCCCAGAGTCTTCAGAGGGGACATGGCCCTGTCAATTTTGAACTTTCGGCCTCCAGCACTGTGAGAGAATACATTTCTGTTGTTTTAAGTCACCCGGTTTGTGGTAATTCGTTACAGCAGCCCCAGGAAACTAATACACCAGCCTAAGCCTGTCAGATGCCAAACATCTTCATATTTAGCCACTATGATATGCTCTCTTGTGTTTGTAGCACCTAAATTCTATCTTTCATGGTACATTTATCAGATGCCTTGTATTTCACAGTAGGAGACAGATGGTGCACCAAGAACTTGAGGCGGGGATGGAGAGGGTGGGGAAAGGTCGAACTATTGCAAGGTAGAGAATGGACTATTTCTTGAAAAGCGCTATTTCTTGAAAAGGTGCCCAATCCTCATTACAGTCTGACCGAGAAGGGGAAATGTGTCTGCTTATGAAGGAAGTAGGGTGCAGAAGGAAAGCAGGACTGGGAACTGTAAGGCCTGCCATGAGCCAGCCCTATGATTAGGCACATGATGTTCAGATGTGGCTGCTTTGACACAGACTATCGACATGGGAACATTGAGACATGGCCTCAAAAACAAAATAGTAACCTCTCGGCTTTAAAAAAGTTCCTAAACTCCTCACTCAGTCCCTCTCAATCCCTGATCCACTCTCCATAACTCCCACTTCTGACACATAGCAGACATTTAACTTTTTAGCTGAGTAAATGAATACTGAGGATAGAAGGAAGTTGAAGGTGTCAGAAATGAGATAATGGTCAACAACTAGGAAAAAGTCAGATGTATAGGAAGAGTCATGAAAGAAGCCTCAAGAATCAGAGATGTCTGCCACTTACATTGGGTAATCAATAGTGGTAACACAAGGCAATGTGGCAAAATATCAATATTTGTCAAATCTTGGTAGTAAATATAGATGTTTGTAATATTTTTCTTTATAGTTTGGTGTGTCTTAAATGTTTTGTCTAAAAAAAGAACAATAGGGTGCCTGGGTGGGTCAGTCGGTTAAGCATCCAACTCTTGATTTCCGCTCAGTTCATGATCTCAGTGAGATTGAGCCCCATGTTGGGCTGTGTGCTGGGTGTGGAGCCTGCTTAAGATTCTCTCTCTCCCTCTCCCTCTGCCCCTCCCCCTCACCCCCCACCCCTCCCCCACTCACAGGTATGTGTGCACATGCACTCTCTCTTTAGAAAAAAATAAAATTAAATTAAAATAAATAATAATAAAAGAAAACAGAATAACAACCACCTCCTAATGGCTATATCAAAATGGATGTGTCAAACTGGCATCGTTCATATAATTTACTTTGATGGATGCTGAATCCTCTCCTTCATCAGCAGAGCTTGTATAGTTGTGGCAAAACAGTTCATTTCCACACACAGATGGACCAATACTTTGGAGACAACCTGTGGAAATATATAGGAAAAGACATTGCCTTGGGCTCTGTGCTCCTGAGAAGTTATGCAAAGGAAATGATAATTCCAAAGAAAAAAGGATGGAGAATATGTAGATGAAAAATTGGGGGACAAAATTGTTTACAACAATGACAAATTGGGAATAACTTAAGGTAACCATGGGGGAGTGTTCACCACTGCTCCCACTCTGGTCACACCACCCTCCTTCTCCCTTAGATCACTGTGGTAGCCTCCAGCTGTCTCTGCACCCACCCTTACACCTACAGTCCGCTCTCAGCGGCCAGAGTAACCCTTTTAAAAGGAAGTGAAATCGTGTCCCCACTTCTCTTCCAAAGGTTCCCACCACCCTCCCTGCTACTAACCCTGACCTGAGCCACCATCTCCTGGGGCCTGGATTTCAGGAACAGCACCCTAACTGGTCTCCCCTTTTCCATATTCTTTTCCCCCAAGGCAACAGTGAAAGTGTTCCTTTTTCAAATCATAAATCGGATTCTGTCACTCCCCTGCTCAGAACTCTCCAGTGGCTTCCTGTTTGACTCAGAGTACACCCATATGACTCAGAGTAAAGTCAGAGTACACATTTACAGTGGCACATAAGGACCTCATCTCCTTCCCAGTCCCCCTGGATACTTTTCGTTGGCTGTTCCCTCTACTAATGTTCTTTTTCTATATGTCCACATGACTCATTCCCTCACTTCCTTCAAGTGGTAACTTAAATCTCCCCTTCTGGGCGAGATCTTCACTAACCACCCTATTTTAAATGTTACAACTCCAGCACTGAGTGCTGAGTAATGTACAGAATTGTTGAATCATTATATTGTACACCTGAAACTAATATAACACTATATGTTAATTATAGTTGAATAAAAAAATTTTTTGTTGACATTCCATATACCTTCATCTTACTTTCCTGTTTTGTATTTTCTCTTAGTATTTATCATCTTCTAACATAATAACTTTACATATCATTTTCCAAATGTCTATCTGCCCTGCTCCAAAACACATGTATGCTAGAATTTAAACTCCAGGAAGAAAGGAATTTTTATCTATTTTGTTCATAGCTGTTTCCCCAGCACCTAGAACAGTGTCTGGTACATAGTTGACATTCAGTAAATATATGTGAAATGAAAGCACAAATGGTTAAGTAAATTGGGCTATACCAAGATGAGGGAAGATTAAGCAATCAGAAAAAACTGGACTTGTACTATGTATCAACTTAGGAACTAAGTCATATGATGCAATGTAAATGTTAGAAGCTTATGATGCAACTTGATCAGAACTACATTGGTGTGGCTTTGGCAACATTGTTCTTTTCTGGTTCTTTTGCTTTCCCTTCCCTTAAATGTTAGAGTTCCCAAGAGGTGTGTGACTGGCTGACTCAGTGGGCAGAGCATGCAACTCTTGATATCGGGTTGTGAGTTTGAGCCGCCTGTTGGGTGTAGAGTTTACTTTTAAAAAAATTCTGGAGTTCCCAAGTTTGTCTTTGTTCCTCTTGTCATTTCTATCTACCCTCACCACTTTAAATACCATCCAGTTTATCATGTTGTCCAAACATGTCTTGTGCCCAGGCTGTGTTTTGAACGTCTCACCCCCATTAGTCATTATTCATATTGTCTTGTATACACGTCTATTAGTAGCTAGATACCATTCTGGGAATAGTTGGCTGTTTATCAGTCTCCCCCATAAAAATAGAACTCTTCCAGGATATGAGATGACTGGGACTTAAGGACTCAATAAATGTTTGAGTAATACCAGATAATAATAGAGTTCATACTGTGTGCCAAGTACCTCTAAGAACCTTACATATATAGTATCATTTAATTCTCACAGCAGGCCTGTGAGAGGTTTAAGCTAGACGTACCTTCACACAGATGAAAAAGGAAATAGGATTGTAAAAAACATGACCAGAAAGTATGCAGACGTTAAATTAGGTATTAAAACGAGGGGATCATAGGCGGTTTTTCTCTTTCAAAAAATTTCTTTACTATTATAGTTAAGCTGCGTGTGTGTTGTGTATGACAAGCGCCGGTATCTGCACGTGAGCGAATAAGCTAACAACTTCAGGGAGCCAACGCAGCACCCGGAAGTTGTAGGGCAAGTCTGGGAAAAGGGGCAGAACCCAGAGGCACTGACAAGCGGTGAGCAGTCTGCGAAGGCGGGGCGTGCGGCGGGAGGAGCAACGGGCCCCACCCACGGAAACCAGTCCTTACCCGGAGGCCAACCGGCTGCTGCTCGCAAATGACGTGCGGGGGCTGTGGGCGGAGCCACTCCTGAGAGGATCCGGCCGGGGGGCAGAGACAGGCTTGCCCATGGGCCGGCACCGATTGGCTCCCTCTGAGATGGGGCGGGTTCTAAGGCTCGCCCAAATTCGTCGAGGGGCGGGGCCTGCGCCTAAGTCTCCCGGAGAGGAAAGAGCGCGACACGGAAGCCCTTTGGGGACGCCTAGGTCCGCAGCGCCTTCGGCCCCAGAGGCGGAGCCGGAAGCTCTACGGTTTCATCCCTGAGCCCCTCTGTTGTCGAAGGGGCAGTTCTCTTCCTCTCGACCCGTTCCGCCTGCCCTTCTTCCCCTTCACCCGGAGGCCGAAGTCCCCAGCCCGGCAGGGCGGTGCTGCCGGAGCTCCCGGACCCGGAAGAAGCACTTACTCCCTCCGCCATGGAGCCCACCGCGCCGTCGCTCACCGAGGAGGACCTGACAGAAGTGAAGAAGGACGTGAGTAGCACAACCTTGCCTGGGCGCCGCCCAGGGCCGGGGGTCGAGGGTGGGCAGGGGCAGGCTGCGGCCCGGCGGGCGTGGAAAGCGGAAACCCGGAGTGGGAGTCCGAGTCGGAAGAGGAGCCTTCGGGTGAAGAAGCACCGCAGGACTGCCCCCGAGGGACCTTGGTGGAAGTGACCCCTCGTGACCTGCTAATCCACGTTTAAAATCGCTCAAAGCGGGGCTTGGGTTCCTGAAACCTTGTCCAGTGGAGCGTTTCTTCGCAGTCAGCTTCTTGCCCGCTCTTCACTGGTGATTTTTACCGCCGCTGCGCTTTGGAGCTGCCTTGTTGGGAATCGACTGCCCAGGTTCATCCTTGAGTCAGAGTCCTTAGGCTGCTGGCTCAACCTGGAGCGAAAGCTGGACCAGTTAAAGGATCCCAAGCAGTGGAGCAAATACGTGAAACTTCTATAAGGGGGGTTGGGGGAAGCTCAACAGCTGAAAGCACAACCTGGAATTCCCCTAGTAAGCAAACGCCCACATATTTAAATTGAGAGGGGGTGTAGCCGAAAACTAATTTACAGGTAAATGCTGAAAATATTCAGCACCTAAATTACGGTCTTTTGCTTGGACGCTGCAGAACTGCCCAAATCTTCATACTTAATACTTGTTAAGGTTTTACTTGTTTTGCCATCTGAGATCTATATGAGTACCACTGAAATAACTTTATATAATTTCAAATTAAACACAGAAACTCAACAGAAAATGAGTTCCGGTTTAACACCTTAGTACTTACACAGAATCGTATTTGTGAACTGGACGAGACAGCAGGTTTTTAAATGTTCATCTACCTTAAGTTCTTCCCCTTTCCCTCCCTTGAAAGGTTTATTACATTGTACTCATAATTACATAATTACACTTGGCGTGACTCATTAGCAGAAGGAAACTGGATATGACTGGGATTTGTGCCTTAGTTTCCTCATTCAGCAGATTTTTATGGAGCACTTAGTATATGGAAAGTACTGTTCTTGGGCCTAGAAAGATACAAAAAAAAAGAAAGGACAATCAGGCCTCTGCTTTATATTCTATTAGAGATAAGACTGGGACATTGATAACTACCATAGAATAAATGAGTGTTGTCTTATATAAGATTTGTGCCAGTGGAACCATGAACTTTAAAAGCTAGGCCTGTGGTGTTCCAGATTCTTTGTCACACAATTTGCAGTGTTGCCATTTAATCTTTACAGCAGCCTCTAAGGGAAATAATTGTCATTCCCATTTTACAGCTGATAACAAAAGACTGTGAGAGGTTACAAGTGAGCATAAATATAAAACCTGTACACACAGTTGTGAACAGTGTCTTCCAGGTTTTTATTCATTTTTTTCCTATCAGTTCATTGATATTACTCATCTCCATGATTTCAATTTACAGCTGTATCAGAAATTCATAACCATGGGGAATCATGAATGGGTTTTCAGGAGGTCTATGGAAAAAAAGTACGTGCACATTTTTTTTCTTAGAAATTTTTTTCGTGCTATTTTCAAAATGGTTGATGACCTCAGAAAGCTTTAAAATTATCATACACATATTTGGACTTCCTTCTTTGTCAACTCTAGGTCCTTATTTCCAAATATCTACAGGAAATCCACTTTTATATTCTGCACACTCCTCATCTTGTCAGAAATTGAACTTTTTCTCATCCCTTCCCCAAAGCTGCTTGTTGTCCCCTGCAGTATTCTGTCTTGATGGATAGTATACCACCACCCATCCTCCTGGAAAGTCCCACTTTTTCACTATGTTCCACCCTCCTCCCCCCTCTCCCCTACCTCTCTAGTTGTTTACCTCATCTTTTGGGTTGAATTTAGTTCTCTGAGGCATGCATGAGTCTAACAGTTCAAAAATTAAAGACTAAGACACAATCCCCGTTTGAAAAGAGCTTGATTTCTTGGGAGGAGGTAGACAGACATAAATTAATAATTTCAAATTACAGTATAAGTGCAATGAATTTTCCATTCATCTGAAACACTATCTACTTGACACTGCTAAGTGCAGGATATACAGAGTTGGACAAAACATGCCTGGTTTTTGCCTGCTTCAAACATATATTTGTTGAAAACAAAGAAATGATTACAAATTATGGTAAGTACTATGAAGGAGACAAACAGGTATTGAGACAGTAGCAGGGGGAATCTGCTTGACATAGGATGGTCAGGGAAGGTTACATTTAAACTGGTTGCTGAAGAATATGACAGAACTTTATTCTGGGGGGGAATAATATTCTAGGCAGAATAGAATTTGCAGAGGACCTAAAACAGACAAGACCTTGGTGACTTGGAAAAATTGGAAACACAGGCAGAGGGTGCCCTGAGGTGAAGTTACAAAGGTGGGCTAGAGCCTGTTCATGAAGGGTCTTACAGATGGTAATAAAGTGCTAGGATTTTTAAAGCTTTAAAATTATCATACACATATTTGGACTTCCTTCTTTGTCAGCTCTAGGTCCTTATTTCCAAATATCTACAGGAAATCCACTTTTATATTCTGATCATAGAGGAGTTTTAAAAAGTGAAAGGTTATAGCCACAGAGGTGGGACTAAAGCCAGGGGAGTGTGGTATTCATATAAGACAAGAAACCAGTATTTCAAGGAGGGAGGGAGTGGTCAGCTGCATCCATGCTGCTGAGAGGTAAGATGAAGACTGACAAGTATGAGATTTGATGGTGAGGAGGTTATTGGTGGCTGAAAATAGTAGTGACACAGAGTGGAAATGAATTGGGAGGTAAGAAGTGGAGTCCCGGTATATAGACAAGTGAAATAAACGCACAGGGTGCTATAAGGACAGAGGAGAGGGGTGCCTAACTCCTTCTGGGGAGTTTAAGCAAAGCTTCCTGAAGTAGATGACCACTGTGATGCATCGTAAATGAAAAATAGGGACTTAGGGTATGAGATGAGAAAACCAGACAAAGTAACAACACAGAGAACTATAGAGTGACAAACAGCAGTTTTTAGGTAGAACATAAAGTACCAGGACGGGTAGAGGTGGTGATAGATTAAGCTCCAGAGGTAGGTAGGATCCATATTATAAAGTACCCTGTCTGCCATTATCAAACAGCTATTATTTATTGAGTACTTACTGTGTATCAGAGACTGTGTCAAGTCCTCATATTCACTGTCCTACTTAGTCCTTCTAGCGGTCCTGCAGGGTAAGTATTTATCACTATTTTATAAATAACCCAAAGCTTAGAGGTTAAGTTACTTGCCCCAGCTCTTACAAGAGTATATGGCAGATTTAAGATCTGAACTGAAGTTGACCTGATCCAGAGCCACACTTCTGATCTCTCTACTATTCTGCCAAAGTTAAGGAACTTTATCTTTTAAGTTGGTGGAACACACCAAGTTTTAAATTTTTACAAAATTAACAACATTTCAGTATTAGTAGAATTCACATAACACTCCAGATTTCCATTTTTTCTTGAAAAATTGGAAGATTTGATAGATGTGTGAAGGAGAAATTTGAACAGGAGGAAAGAAATAGTAAGTACAGCTAGGTATCTTGTTTGTTAATAGTCCATGCAACATAGGATGAAGACCTGAGCTAAGGCAATGCTAATAATAGAAATGAAGTGAAGGTGCAGATTAGATAAACATAACGGGTAAGTTGGCAGGACTTGGTGGGTGGCTGATCAGATGTGGCAGGTGAGCAAAAGAGAGGAAGTGGAGGATGAGTTGTAGGTTTATTGCACAATCGGATGGATGGTGGTACTCCCAAATGAGTTAAGAATATCAGAGGAAAAGGACAGGCAAAGATAACAAATTTGGTTTTGGACAAGTTGAATTTGAAGTACATTTGGGATTTCTAAGTGGAGAAAGTCTCGATCACATACACAAACTTGGGGATCATCAGCATATAAGTGGTAGAGATGACAACGGATGAGGTATTTCAAGGAGTTCAGCTTTGAAATCTATTCTCTCCATCCCCACAGCTTAAATTCATGCACTCAGCATAGCTTACATAAAATATTGCAGCAATCTCCTTATGGTTCTCCCAGTTTTTGCTCCCCCAGTCCTCTCCAAAAGCTTTTTAATTGCTTCTTATTTATAAACCTTTGATGACTCTTTTGGCTACAGGGACATGTATGTTCCTCAACATGTTAAAAAAATTCTTCCATAATCCAAACTGTTTCCCTTTCAACTTCATTTCTTACCAGTTTCACATGCACCCTGCATCCCAGCTACCCCAGACTTGTTAGTATTCCCCTCTGTGCACCTTCATGCTACAAGTGTAGCCTCTGTAAATTTCCCAGGTCATGGAGGTACAGTTAGTTTTTCCTCTGTGCTTCCCCAGTACTTGTGTTTCTCTTTGTTTTTTTTTTTTCTGGGTCATATCACATTGTCTTAAAATTATTGGCTTGTGTCTTATATGTGCTCTCCAACTAGACCATGTGCCCTTTGTGTACAGGATTCAAGTTTTGTTCATCTTTGTATGCTCAGCACTTGGCATATTAGGTATTTAGATATATGAAATGTTTGTTTTGTGAATAAATAAATGAATGTGGGAGTTCAGTGGACTGAGAACTGTAGGAACCCTTCACCCAGCCTACTTTCCTGCCACCACATACTCGGATACTTCTAAGGTCTTCCATTGCCTTTAGCTCATCATGATAAATGTAAGTCAAATTAGTCATCATCATCTTCATCACTAACATTTGTTGATGACTTACTATTTCCCAGGCACTTTTCCAAGTACTTTACATACATTATTTTATTCCTCATAATACTCAGATGAGGAAACTGAGGCACCAAGGAGTTAAGTTACTTACCCAAGATCAAATATCTAGTAAATGGAAGAGCTAGAATACAGTCACTGGCATCAAATTATTAATGCTATTTATTGGGACCCAGATCAGCTTTCTGCCAAATAAGCTCCTTGGGGCATTTCTCAAATGTAAGCCTGTTTTCTGTGATTTCCTTTTCTTCATTTCTTTAATTTCTTCCAACATTCACTATTTCTTTAGCGTACTCCCCCTGTCCCACGCCCACCTCCCTTCTACCATCTGACTCACTGAGTTAGGGTATAGTCTTTCCAACTAACTCCAAAGATAAATACATTATGGACTGTTATGGTTTTACTCTAGGAAAGACACTCCATGGTTTTACTCAAGGAGAATGGAAAACTAACAAACATGAGAAAGTTACAAATTACAAGCCTCACTAAGTTATCCTCTTTGGTCCTGACTAATCCTGGATTCCTTGTTAATGGTAACTAAAATGTATGGAAGCCTCTGCTCTCATCTTTACCCCTGAAGGTGGAGACCCTGAGCATACCTCCCTATTTCCACGGACCCAGGCCCTTTAGATTTGACCAGCTTCCTCCTCACAATAGCCTGGTCTTGGTTTATTGGTGTGAAGATGAGATTAAAGCAGGGACAGAAGCTGCGAGGAATGTTTAGTCTAGGACCGACTTCTGTCTACTTGGCCCTTCGTCTTAATAATATGGATATTAGTAGGCCTGAGCCTCCTGACTTGAGTACGTTTTCTCCCACCAGTTAAGATTCCTCACTAATAATCAGTCACCTATGTGATTTCCTCAAGGGTTAAAAAAAAAAAGCCCTGAAGCACAGTTTTATGTCTTTTAGGCTTTAGAAAATCTGCGTGTATACCTGTGTGAAAAAATCATAGCTGAGAGACATTTTGATCATCTACGTGCAAAAAAAATACTCAGTAGAGAAGACACTGAAGAAATTTCTTGCCGAACATCAAGTAGAAAAAGGGCTGGAAAATTGTTAGACTACTTACAAGAAAACCCCAAAGGACTAGATACACTGGTTGAATCTATTCGGCGAGAAAAAACACAGAACTTCCTGATTCAGAAGATTACAGATGAAGTGCTGAAACTTAGAAATATAAAACTAGAACATCTGAAAGGTAAGATAGTTTGGTGTCCAAGAATTCATTTACATGTGACAATGCTTTTAAAAGTAAAATACAAGGGACGCCTGGGTGGCTCAGTCATTAGGTGTCTGCCTTCGGCTCAGATCATGATCCCAGGGTCCTGGGATCAAGTCCCACATCAGGCTCCCTGCTCGGCGGGAAGCCTGCTTCTCCCTCTTCCACTCCCCCTGCTTGTGTTCCCTTTCTCGCTGTGTCTCTCTCTGTCAAATAAATAAATAAAATCTTAAAAAAAAAAAAAAGTAAAATACAAAACAAAAAACTCAGAAATGATCATTTTGTTTTTGTTCAAAAAGTTTCAGCTTCAGAATTACATTTGATTTACTTTTTTTTTTTACCTTATGTCATTTCATTGGAAAAGTGGAATATCACTCAGTGTTCTGTATTTGTATTTATTTAACGACACCGTTTATACAAAACTTTAATGAATCCCGGTATACACATGAGTTTGTTTCTGAAGTGTGCATAAGATCAATCTATTCAGAAGTAACCCCTGAAGGGGCGCCTGGGTGGCTCAGTCGTTAGGCGTCTGCCTTCGGCTCAGGTCATGATCTCAGGGTCCTGGGATTGAGCCCCGCATCGGGCTCCCTGCTCAGCAAGAGGCCTGCTTCTCCCTCTCCACTCCCCCTGCTTGTGTTCCCTCTCTCGCTGTATCTCTCTCTGTCAAATAAATAAAAATCTTAAAAAAAAAAAAAAAAAAGAAGTAACCCCTGAAATTACACATCACACATGAAGAATAATATGTAGGCAGTCTTTTTAGTAAGTCCAGTTCTGATGGTTCTTCTTCCACCAGTTGATCACAGAATGAAGTGGTTGGCATATGCTTGTAAGAATCATGTTATATAAGTTATCCATAACTTTAAACACTAGAGTCACACTCGGTCTGGCACGATGAGAGAGGCATGGGAACGGAAGTTGATTAATGGCATAGCAAATTCACTTCCTGTGTTTCACCCTCACCCTGGAGCACACACTCACTAATTGAAATACTACAGGGAATTGCCTGCGCTGTTTAAATCCTCCTCTCCCCACAAACCTCATCTCTCTCTCCCTGTGCCTTTCTCTAGAGCACTTAAGATGCATATGATGTAGCTCTACCCCAGGTGTTCTAGGCACGGGGGATACAGAAAAGAGTAATTTAGGGCTCTGCCCTTAAACTCTGTCGGTCCATACTGGGAAACATTGGAAGTCTCCCCTCCTGAGCCATATTTAAGAAAATAGTTTCTATAGCATGGAACAGAAATGCTGAATGTATTGTGAAGTTGAAAAGCTAATGGGAAAAAAATGACATATAAATGTACTTTATAGACTTCTCAGATTTTACATAAGATTTGTCAGCTCAGGAGGTTCTGTGCCTTTAGACAGTTAGGTTAAATATTTGCTAAGACTAACAAAGATAAAATTTGTGTGTGTTTATTCTTTCACCCTGAGGCTAATTGTTAGCTGTACCCATTGGATATGGTAAAATTCTTTGATCTGAGCAACCACTGTCATTTAAGTGAACTGTTAGGTTGAGAACCGGGACGTTATTTAATGTGAAGAGGAGACCTGGGTTATAGTTCTTACTTTCCCATGAAGTAGTTCTGGAATGTTGGGCATGACTTGACTGTTTGGGGCCTCTATTTTTCCATCTCTACTAGTGAGAAGCTATCCCAGGGGACATCCCAGCTATCCCAGGGGACCTCTGACATGTCTAACACCCTGGGATTCAAGAATCTGTAATTGGTATTAATTAACTCAGAATTTTAGCATATGCTCTGTTTAAAGTTTGTTTTTTATTGGGTAATATGTTTTGTGGGCCAGAATGCTAAAGAATATTAGTTGTGACAGCTGTTTCTTATTTTATGAAAAATTTTAGGGGCTACTTAATTTTTTCCAGGTCATTCAGTGGTTAAGTATATAAGAATACGAACTAAATGTGAATTATAGCATGTCATTTAGCTTCCTTAAGACTGTTTCCTTATCGAAGAAATAAAAATAATGGTATACTTCATGGTTGTTGGGAAAAGCAAATGAAACATGAAATGGATTCATGACAGAATTTATAAATTGCTATTTAAATCTCTGTTGTGTGGTAACTAGCTTACAAGATGGGTATGGGTTCAGTGTTTTAAGTTACTTTTTCATTTACATCTGAATAATTCAATTTTATTGTAGGACTGAAATGCAGCAGCTGTGAGCCTTTCCCAGATGGAGCCACAAACAACTTCTCTAGATCAAATTCCAATGAGAGTAATTTCTCTGAAAAACTGAGAGCATCCACTGTCATATACCATCCCGAAGGAGAATCCAGCACGGCCCCCTTTTTTTCTACTGAGTCTTCTCTGAATTTGCCTGTTCTTGAAGTCGGCAGAACTGAAAATCCGACCTTCTCTTCAACTACGCTTCCCAGACCTGGGGACCCCGGGGCTCCTCCTTTGCCACCGGAGCTGCAGTTAGAAGGAGGAGGAACTTGTGGAAACTCTAGTGAGATGTTTCTTCCCTTGAGATCACGTGCTGTTTCCCATCAATGACAGTTTACAGCCTTTTAATCTTTCTTAATAATGACAAAAAATATTTGAAAGGATATCAATCTTTTTATAAAATTGCTATAATGACATTTGATATATGTCTTTTAAAAAGCAATGGAAGCATACTTTGTAAATAGACTTTTTTAGGACAAAAGAAGCATACTTTTAGATAGCTAAAGAAAATCATGTTGATCGTGTAATTTTCAGTGTTTTCTTTGCATTTTTGAGGTATGGAGTGTTTTCACATTTTTTATGTTTTAAGACTAACTTTAATAGGGAACATTTCTCTCTTTAAGAATAGTCTGAGGTTGGGTATAATGTCTCAGTGCATTTGTACTGGAATTTTCAGTCTAATAGTCCTTTCCAACATACAGCAGTACATTTTCAGATTAAGCTACATCTATATGGTAATAAAGCCAAGCACTGACAGGAAAACTGCCAGTGTACTGAAAAGAATCTCCCACTCTCTTGAGCTTAGAGACACTTACAGAGTCCCCTTCTGATGCGGAGGAACATCTAAGGGAGTTTGAGCCACCTAAGATCTCAATTTGCCAAAATACATTTCCTATTAACCTTACTAATTAATACTATTTTCTTGGGATTTTCATAATCTTTGCTTATCATTTTCATTCCTACAGAAAAATCTCGGCAAAAGCCTGCGATTGCGTGTAATTTGGTGAGATTTTAAAAATATTTTTCTGTACTTTTCATTCTCTTTTAATGAGGACCACTATACAAGTTGAAATAACTAGGACAAAATGTTGTATGTGTGTATCTGTGTACCAGTTCTGTCTTCAATACTGTCTGGAACCAGTGGATCATTAGCCTGACTTGTGTTTTTGTTATAACAAAGTTTGACTAATTTTACACCTTTATAAATTTTATGCTGTCGTTGTTTTTATTTAAGTTATAATTCTGCCTATTTCCTGATATATTCTCATATATTTCCATTACTTTTAAAAAGCAGAGGTGGAAATATGGTGTTAACAATAAGAGTTTTTCAATGTAGTGCTATTTTGGGGGGAAGTTTCAGGTATTTCAATAGGAAGTAAATACCTAAAATACTTTTCTTATATGTACCAATTTTTATAGAAACATTACTTCAAGTTGTGAGATCAAGTTGCATTTCTGGATAGACTGATGCATTTGTCAGTCACGAAGAAGATTGACATATTCTTTAGATAAATTTTTTTCAAACCTGGATGTTTTTTATAGTGTAACATTTTCTAAAGATTATGGGAAGCATGTTTCACCTTCAGCGAGGCATAAGAAAATAGTGGCATTACATTTAAAGAAGTCTCGTTAAAAAGCAGAAGCAGGCTTTTCATTTCATTAATTAAAATTTGATATGTGTTACTTGAAGTAGAATTTACTCAGAATCAAAAAGAATTTAGATATGCTGTATCACCTACATTTATAGTTTATAACACTGAGTTTTCTTTCAGACTGTTAACTATACAGACAATAAAATTAAGGTTTTAATAAACTTAGCCTTTTGGGTTTTCTGAATCCTATGAAGTCAATTTTTTTTTCCTTTAAACACTGAAAACCACCTGTTGCTGAAAATATATAAATTAGAATGTCAGACTGACAGGTTGGTAAAGGCAAGAATGAAAAAGTTACTTTTTACAGATACCATATTGTCACTTCATACAAAAACAACAATTCAGAACTCATTTTTAAAATTTTATCTTAATTAAAAGACTTTATTTTTTAGCATGGTTTTAGATTTATAGAAAAATTGAGCAGAAAGTACAGAGTTTTCTATTTTTACATCTTGCATTAGTGTGGTACATTTGTTAGAATTGATGAACTAGTCTTGAAACATTATTAACTAAAGGTAGTAGTTTACATTAGGATTCACTCTGCTGTGCAGTTCTGCAAGTTTGTTTGTTTTTTTTAAGATTTTATTTATTTACGCAGAGAGTGCATGCACTAGCAGAGAGAGAGGCAGAGGGAGAGAATCCTCCAGCAGACTCCCCACTGAGCATGTAGCCAGATGCAGGGTTCAGTCTCATGACCCTGAGAACATGACCTGAGCCGAACTCAAGAGCTGGACACTTAACCGACTTGAGCCACCCAGGCGCCCTGGTTCTGTAGGTTTTGATAGATTGCATAAAGTCATGTATCCACCAGTGTAATATCATACAGGACAGTTTCACTGCCCTAAAAATTTCCTTTGTTCCACTTACTCATCTCTTCCTCTTCCCTCCCCCTTCGAACCCTGGCAACCATTGAAACTTTTATTGTCTCTGTACTGTTTTTTCTGGAATGTCACATAGTTGGAATCATATGTAGCCTAAGTAGTATGTAGCCTAAGTTTTCTCCAAGTCTTTTCGTGGTGAGCACACCTTTTCATGAGGTGATTACACATCTTTGGTCTGCATGTTGCTCTTAGTGCAAGGTCAAACACTGGCAAATTAGGAACAGGCCAGAATAATGGCAAATTTTTGTTTTGTTTCAATTATTTTTAAGAAGTGTTTTGGTTCTGTTTGGGAGTTTCGGGGTTTGTTTATTTTGATAAACAGTCTTTTTATTTTAATTAATCTAATTTATCAATCTTTTGTGGTTAGTGATTTCTGTCTCCTGTTTTAGAAATCTTTGCTTATCTCAATGTCATGATGATATTCTCCTATTTTTTTTCTGGAAACTTAGTTGCTTTAGTTTCACAATTGGCCATATAATTCATTATAAGGTGATTTCTGTGTATGGTATAAAGTAGAAGTCAAGTCTTACAGGTACTGTCTTTTTACCTAAGTAATATATAAGGGAGCAGAAAGTTCCAGGCTCTGGTCTTATCTTGCATCAGTGGATAAATATACACACTTTTGACTTTGGGGAAAAAAAGCAAACCAAGAAGCAAATCTGTCTATAGTTGTTAAGTGCAATCTTATGAAGGCTACCTGAAAGCAGAGCTAAAACAAACTCAGAATAAAGTAAATGATTCAACATCGCACAACTGTTTAGGATAAAAATCCAGGGCTGTTTGGCTCCACAGTCAGTGTTCTTTCCACAACTCCATGTTCTTCTTAGTATTTCTTAAATAGCAAAGTTAAGAGTGGAGATTTTTTTTTTCACTCATTAATTTAGTAATTATTGAGTACCTTTTATTCTAGGTGCTGGAGATACAGTGATAAAATCTGTGTTCTCAAAGAATTCATATTCTAGTTGGGGGAGGTAAAATAGAAGCATGGAAACCTAGGTAATTCTAGTTACCATGGATATAAAATGGGACATGTGTGAGCTAGAACATGGGAAAGAGTATAGATAGCATCATCTGGGAGGTCCTCTCAGAGCAGGTGACAGCTGAGCTGAGACATGTCCAAAAGGCACAGAAACCAGCTTAAAGGGGCTCCCACAGGCCAAATCCAGAATAATTTCAACATCAAAATAAGTAATGATAATAACAGATTATAAATCACTGCACAAAATAAGAAACCATGAGTCAATGCTAATGTAAATGGACAAATAATGTGATGAAGAATGGGATATTGACAATAGCCTCAAATATCTCCCTACAGAACACTTATTAATTACAAAGGAGGAAAAAAGTAGCTTGATAGCAGAAAATCCTGCCAGATACTACCTTAAACAAAAAGTCAGGGATGCTTGGCTGGGCCCAGCTGGTAAAACATGTGACTCTTGATCTTGGGGTTGTGAGTTTGAGCCCCACGTTGGGTACAGAGATTACCTAAAAATAAAATCTTTAAAAAAAATAATCATTAGTACCAAAGCAAATGAAATCACATGCCTCCTGATAGAATGCAATGAGAAGAACACAACACCACTTTCATTATGTTCTTAACAAAGATTTGTAACCTGAATTTATCACTAAGACAAATTGAGGCATCTTCTACAAGATAACTGGTCTATAGTCTAAATACCAAGGTCATGAAAGTTAAAGACAGAAACCATTTCAGGTTGAAGGAGAAGAGACACGGCCACTAAATGTAATGCCTAAATCTAAACCAATTTAAAGTTTATTAAATGTTAAGAAAATTCGCAAGCAAGGAAAAAGAAAGGTAGTAGGGGTAGAATTGGTAATAAATGTTTGGACTTGGACTATATTTTAAATTTGAAATAACATTTGCTGACTTTTGACCTGAGCATCTGGATTAATAATGCTGCAATTTGGGGTGCCTGGCTGGCTTAGTCTGTAGAGCATATGACTCTTGATCTCAGGGTCATGAGTTCAAGCCCCATGTTGGGTGCAGAGATTACTCAAAAATAATGATAATGCTGCAATTTAAAAAGATGGGGCAAATTATGGGAGGTGGGGAGTATTGAGGGTAGGAAATGAAGAGTTTCCTTTGGACATGTGTGTCAGGTATCTATTGCTGCATAACAAACCACCCTAAAACTTAGTGGTTTAAAATAATGACTATTTATTTGTCATGATTCTGCAAATTGGGCTAGACTTGGCTTCATAGTTCTTATGATGGTCTATCCTGGGATCATTCTGCATTCTTATAAAGGTTCAACTGGGATTCTATAAATTCACTCACAAGTCTAGTGCCTTACCTGGGATGGATACACTAGCTGGGAGCTGGCTGGGGTTCTTTATTCATGGTATCTCCAGCAGAGTTGCTGGACCTCTCTTTACATGGTGGCTCAGGGCTCCCAGGGAAAAAAAAAAAAGTGGAGGCATTCTAGTCATCTAAGCAAGGCACAAAGCTAGCCCAGATCCAAAAGGGAGAGGAAATAGACCCCATGATGGAAGGAGCGGCATGCAGCACTGGCATGGCAGGAATTGTTGACCACCATCTTGGTAGAAAACCTACCAGAAATATGTTAAGTTTGCAGTGCTTGTTAGACACTGAAGTTGGAAATTGGGTACAAGGATTTGGTGTTCAGGGAATACTTCTGGACTGGTTATATAAATGTGGGAGTTATTAGCATAAAATGGTATTTTAAACCATGGGACTTGATGAATTCACCTTGAAACATAAGGTTCATAGAAAAGAAGGATGATCCAGGACTGAGCCTAAGGTGCTCTCACATCTAGAGGTGAGACAGAAGAAGGCAAGAGAGGAAACTGAAAAGAGCCCTGTGAAATAGGAAGAGAACTAAAGTGTATGATCTAGTGAAAGGCAAGAGAAAAAAGTGTTTCAAGAAGGAGGCCTATCTCTAACAAATAGATAAATTATAAAAAAAAAAAAATCTTAAAAAATAAAGGAGGCCTATCTTGTTAAAAGGTGAAGGAAGAAGCAGCCCTTGGACTTGGTCACACAGAGGCTATTGGTGGCTTTGATAACAGAGATTCATGTTACTCAAACTGGGTACCCCAACCCCAAAGGCACTCAACAGTGGACCAGTTTTTTTTTAAGATTTTATTTATTTATTGAGAAAGGGAGAGCACAAGCAGGGGGAGCAGCAGAGGGAGAAGCAAACTCCCTACTGAGCAGGGGGAGCCCGATGTGGGACTCTAGCCCAGGACCCTGGGATCATGACCTGAGACGAAGGTAGATGCTCAACCAACTGAGCCACCCAGGCGCCCTACAACCAACTTTTTTACTTTCATTTAAGTATCATTCCCTGTTAGATCACCAGGAGTGAAAGAGTTCTAGTTTTCTTGGTGACTAGGTTATATCAATTACTAAGAGAGGGAACACATACAGAAACAAGTCATATGGAAAGACAGGTTACTGATCTAGTGAGTGGGTGTTTGAAGCCCCAGCAGGATGTCCACATGGAAAGCTTAAGACCCAAGGGGAGTTCTGGTCCAGAGGTTGGATGGAAAGATTGGGGTTGGAAACCCAGATTTGGGAGTCACAAGCGTAAGGTAGTTAATGCCATGGAAAGAGATGGGCTGACTTGCAACTTTGTAATGCCCTCTACAAAATGATAAGTATTGCTGAAAGATGGTAATACGTTGGGAAACACCAGCGTTTAAGGGCCATACAGGGCAAAGCAAGAATGGAAAGAAGCTGACAATGAGAAGCCAGAGAGTTTGGAAGACCCACCGAGTGGTGAGATGCAATCCAAGAGGAATTTCATCAAAGGTAGTTTTCAGAGCCCACTGGAATGAGGTCGAGCAGGAGAGGATTTAGTTTGTGACTTGATAAGTCCACCGCCCATAGAGGTCTTCCATGGTGACTGTGGGAAGCAACTAGACTGAGAGTAATTTTCATTTTGAAGAGGAGATGCAGTGAGATCGGGAAGAAATCCTGGAGTCTCTGGGCGATGGCTAAGGTGAAGTGGCAGTGAAAAAACAAATTCTTATCTCTCGTATGCCTTTAATAAATGCTTCTTGAATGTTGAAAGTTTGGTTGGGACCACTGGTACAGGACTTGTCTCTTCTCACAGTTCCTCGGGAAGGAGCCTAAAGCAGCCCCTGCTTCGCAACGTGCGCTCCCCACCTCCCGCCTCAGTGCCGAGAGGGGCTGCAGGAGCTCGGCGCAGCCGTCAGGGGGCGCAGGCCCTGTGCTCTACCGCAAGACTTGGGGCGGAGCCAACCGCGGGGCGGGCCCTGAAGCAGCTTCCGGCTTCC